GCCCAATCACTTGCATCACACATATATTCAAAGGGTTTACTCCAATCTGAAGTAGCAATCACGGATGCAGTAACCAGAGCCTTTTTTAAAGTGTGAAATGCATTTCTAGATTCCTTACTAAAATCAAACTTTTGGTCATGTTGAAGTAATGAACACAAAGGTTTTGCAATTTTTGAAAAATCTTTGATAAATCTTCTGTAAAAACCAGCGTGTCCAAGAAAACTTTGTATACCCTTTACAGTGGTTGGTTCAGGCAATTTTTCAATCACTTCAAGTTTTGCCTTATCAACCTCAACTCCCCTTTTCGAAATTAGATGACCAAGAACAATACCTTCTGTCACCATAAAGTGACACTTTTCCCAATTTAAAACTAAATCAGTTGCTTCACACCTTTCAAGACTTTTTTCAAGATTTTTCAAACATTGATCATATRATGTACCATATACAGAAAAATCATCCATAAAAATTTCCATGGAAGTTTCAAGCATGTCCGAAAAGATGGACATCATACATCTTTGAAAAGTGGCGGGAGCATTACATAAACCAAATGACATTCTTCTAAAAGCAAAGGTACCATAAGGACATGTAAAAGTGGTATTTTCTTGGTCTTCCGGGGCTATTGCAATCTGATTGTAACCTGAGTATCCATCTAGAAAACAATAATACTCMTTTCCAGCTAGTCTGTCTAACATCTGATCTATGAAAGGCAAAGGAAAATGATCCTTTTGAGTTGCCTTATTCAGTCTACGGTAGTCCATACAAATTCTCCAACCAGACACGACTCTTGTAGGGATGAGCTCATCTTTCTCATTTGAGATGACAGTGACACCTCCCTTTTTAGGGACACACTGTACAGGGTTTACCCATGAGCTACTTGCAATTGGATAGATTATGCCAGCATCCAACCATTTCAGAATCTCTTTCTTCACAACCTCTTTCATGATTGGGTTTAATCTTCTTTGAGGTTCAATGGAAGTGAAACTCTTTTCTTCTAAAATGATTTTATGCTTACATATTGAAGGACTGATACCCTTTAGGTCAGAGATGGTCCATCCAATAGCCTTGGTGTGCAGTTTCAACAAGTCTACCAACTGTTCTTCCTGATTTTTCATTGTTAAACTGTTTTTCAACTGAACTGAAACAGCAGCTTCACGTTTGTGTTGTTTTTGTTGTGTTTGATAGCAGGTGTCTGATTTAGAATGTGTTATAGTGAATCAAGCTGTTCGGATAAAGATTTGAAGCAGGATTATACACAATTAAAATCCAAGATTCATACACAACAGCAGCAAAGCAAGTTGTAACAGCAGATTGTGCA